AATCCAAGGAAATTTCCCTCGCAGGAGGATAATTAAATCTATAAGGTACGTAAATAGAAAGGAGATAGAGCGCAATACTGGTCAACAGCACATTCTGTGGTGAGCTCGCGCGAAAGTGTCGTAAGCTCGGACTCGGCTTCAGTTGTTAGTATATGAATGCTGCAGAATTGAAATTAACTTCTCGGGCTGTCTTGGGGGCGAGGCAGCGTGTGCGTTTAGAGCAGTCGACTGAGTCAAAAGCTGTTTTCAGATCGAGGAAGATAGAAGATTGAAGTATTAAAGTGGATAAACCTCTATACTCCGGTAGACCTATCACTCGTGACGAACACAGAAGTCTCGGTAGATGTTTGTCAACCTGTAGCACGTCTGGTGCCATTGATAAATTCAACGAATTATCGATAATCGAAAGTTTGATGCAGTTAGTGATTTTCCACGGTGCGCAGCATAGCTGTTATACCGGAGTATCACTGAAATCCGACGAACTGCACAAGTTTAATGGAACTAGCGGATGAGGAATGTAAAGACCAGATGCAGTTTCACACAAACGCAGTGGAGCACCGAATCAAGTATTTGACCGCCACGGTTCGCATTGGCTGGTGCAGGTGTAACGCTTACCAGCGAATAGGATTCATCGGCAACCGATACTTACCCAAGCGGGGAGAAAACTAGTTCCTAAGAACAAGATTCGGGTTGAGATGGTAAAAACCATGCTCCGCGCTGTTGGTGACCGCTTACATTAAACTTCTTGGTTGTGGGATTTATCCCAAACAATGTTTAAGGACACCGAATGATATGACTGGGTCGTGAACAATGACGCTTGTGTATACATTTTCTTTGCATACTTATTGCACCATGTTTATACACGCTTTTTTAGACGGATGTCTCTACGTTGAACTTCATTTATTTGTTCTTTGGTCGTCCAAAATGAAACTGAAATCTGCACACCGAACTCGCGTCTGGTTTCCTGGATGAGGATACCAGGATCAGCGCGATCGACGGTTAGAGACACTATGTGATATGACTGTGACAAACAAAGGCGCTCGTGTATCTTCTTAATCATTTTGCAACCAAAACTTCCCACTCTATCTTTGACACAACAATCCAGACTTAGTTCTATGCCCTATTCAAATGGGCAGCCAAAAGATATCAAGGAAGATCGCCACACGAGGGTGCTTGGTTAATGGTTTTAAGAGCTGGGGAAAAAATGAACGCCCAGAGAAGTGGTTAGAAAAAACATACGAAAACCATTCATTTTTTCCTGGCACCGACGCCTGAGGAACCTGCTTCACTCTTGCGCGCAAATAATGTTTCCGCAACCGCTGGGTGTATGTGCAGTTGCAAATACGATATCATATACTCAATTGCAGAAAAAATGCTGATTTCAAGTTGTCATCTTAGGTGCGTGGGATTTCTCCATTCGACGAGCGAATTTACGCATCCGGTTATATTACAACTTCTGGAATAAAAGAGACCATCGAGTATGCCGTATTGTGGGCACGGACTGTCTACAGTTCAGAATAAGTTACAGTTTGAAGTATCAAAGAGTATCCTTTGTTGTACCGCTTTTAATGCTAGATAACGCAGCAACATCTGTGCGCATATCGAAGAGACATCATCGATATATTTCAGGTCGACATCTACGAAACACAGTACATCTAAAAATAATCCAACAGAAATGTTTGTTAATGAATGGTTTGTTTTTACTATACAACTCGGCAATCGAGTCACTTATTGCATTATACCATCTACTGCTCGCTCTTTAGAACCTGGAACCTATGCTCTGACATCATCAAATCAGTGTTCCGCAAGACTGTTTGAGCAATTAAATAAACATCTAGCACCGATGATTGAACTTACTGTGAGATCCTGACGGATACTTTTGAATTGTTCACAAACCCAATGATAATCCGTCTTCGAAAGCCATTTCTGCTTAACATGTTCCAGTGATTGCTTCAAAACGCTTAATGGACGAACCTCGGAAGGTTCTGGAGCCTGAAAGCAGAATGTTGGCATAAACATCGGCTGGAGGAGCGAGCAATAAAGTACAAAAAGCGACAAACACCTGAGGGTACATGAACGGGTAGTCACCACACATTATTAACCTACTACCGAGTTGTACACCCAACAGTGATACATACGCAATGCTTCATATGACAGTAAACTCTGCTGAGACCCACGATGTAACAGTGGGGGCATGTGTCAACTTCGGCTGTTTACAAGCAAATCATTTTTATTTCTTTTTATAAAGATTACTGCACTGTAATTTATTTGGCATATGTATGTGTATTTTCGTCAAAAGTACAAGTATATGAATGAAATGACAAAAGACTACCGGATACGCATGCTTGATGACCGGCAAGAACCGCAAAACCGATCCTGTGCTTCCAGGGAAATTTTGTCAAGGCTTTCATATACTACACTATACCCTTCCTGCGATATATATATGTACACATATATATATATATCGACTGTTTATAGATTTCACAAAAGCCAATCACCAGAGCCATTTGCCAACTCACCCTTGTGAGGCGCAAATAGCGCTTTTCCAAATCCTGCATGGTACCAACAATTTGAAAGGACTCAAAATCGGCAGATAGTTCGTCTCGTTCATCAAACATATTGAGCAGCAACCGACTTGTAGTGCGACCGATGGCTCCGGTTCCGTCAAGTGTCGAATGTCCCAAATGATCTTTGAAACGAGTAGCTCGATAGGAAAGACGAGATGCACCAGAAGTGGCATTACTGATTGCATTCGCCTTTCCTCGCCTAGCACCTCGACCTTGTCCTCTTTGAGATGAAATATCCTCTCTCTTTGTTTGGGGATCGATACTGAGACGCGTTACTTCACTACTAACCCGACCTCCGCGCTTTCGTCGTCGGTTTTTCTTGCTGCCATTGATTGGGGGAGACGACTCGTCCGGACTGACGAAGAAATTGCATGGGTTGAAACAGCATGAACAGGTTCATGATAATCGATACTACTCTATTGCAACGCCACCTGATGATCGCTTGACACACTCAGATCATTTCGTTTGTGATAGCTGAAGGCACGTTAGACTGAAAATATCACGTGACAGTTGCATGACATTTTTCACTGAATGCCAGTGGCACATATACAGGCTTATCAAAAGCATTGAACGCCCACGAGAAAATCCTTTGATGAACCATCATGCTTTAATTGAGGTTTTCCCCATAGCAAAACAGGTTACTGTGTGAGCCTGCAAATCTTTATGTGAGAAATTCGAATTTCGTTACGAAACCAACACATAAATGCAGTTCTATAATGGATTTGGAAGTTTACAGTGGAACTCTAGACTAGTCGTAGTTTGGAGCACTGGTGCACACGGTCAACAGTGAGGCATAATTGGAAAACGGTTCTGGCAAAAAAGCTTATCCAACATCCATCACAAGCCGAATGCGAGTATGCCTGTGAGTACGCGAGGGTCAAGAACTTTGTCCTAGGAAAACCCCACTGAGGTCATATGTACACGGATGGAACTCAAATTTAACCTCTGAACATCGATGAATTCCCTCATGTTTAACTGATACCCCACGTTATAACCATACCAGATGAAATAAGGCCTACCCAACCCATGATCTATTTCGATGTTATGATTTCAAACCAAAGCGATAGTATTCAGATATGGTAACGTGTAACCACACCTGAGACTGAAACGCGATGCCGAATAAGGCAACTTGTGCCCCGATCGAGAGCTGGAACGAGAGTGAGATCGTGAGTTAAAGCGCCGACGGCGTGGTGGGCGTGATCGGCTACCAGACGAAGAAGCAGATGACCTGTGGGAATCACTCGATCTCGAACGCGATTTGGAACGACTCAATGAACTTCTTCGAGGAGGATGGTGTTGCCGAGATTTTCCAGAAACTGGAACTGGTGAGCGACTGCGTGATCTGGATCGCGAGCGTGAACGGATAGGTGAGGGAAACCTTCTGCCGTTGGCCGACTGTGTCCCAATTTTTGCACCTGCAAATATGTTGCGGCCACCACGCGCCAGCATACCAACAGGAAGGCGGATGTGGGACCCTCGGGCTGGCCCGGTGGCGCGTACTCCACGCGGTCCAATTAGTTGTGCTGGTCGGACAACACTGGCAATTTAAGGTGGAGGACGATAAGATAATGAAGATTCAGAGCGGTGCCAGTTACATAAAAATAACTATAATTACAAGTTTTGGGTAAAACAGGTTATTTCGCTACAAATCCTTAGAGGAGCATTTTAAGTCAAGGTGTTGCGCGGTGCCTGAGCCTCAAGAAAAATTTGTACATTCTGTAAATTATTATTCCTTGCAAGTTCAGAGCTTTCAGTGTGCATTTTATTTCAATATGTGAATATGATCCCCAAGAAAGGAATGAAAGATAACAAAGCCCTACATAGCAGATTTAGTGCCTGATGGACTATCACGAAATCCCCAGGATAATGAAGAACAATCCTAGAAAAAAAACGGAAAAAATCGAAGAGGGATGAGCTTTCGACTAATAACAGACATGCTGGCTTTTGGCCAAAGAAGTGACCTTTGATTAACGTTAATGTATAAGATTACAGGAACGAAGCTTGTGAGTTTCGGGGTATGTGAAGAAAGTGATAAGCTTGCGAAAAATCCAGAACTGTCTTAGAATGGCCAAGATGATTAAACGGCGATCAACATACATCAAACGCGAAGCCTGAAGCGTAAGCTTTCGCTGATATTTATACATTTCACTCTGGTCTCAGCCAAAGCTGTGGACTCCACTAATCACGCCCAAGGTAAGGCAACCTGATGGAACGAGCCGGGAAGCTTACTAGGTCAATGTGGATCATATTATACACGTTCGCTGGGCACAATAGTAATAATAGTAACTGATTGATCTGCTTATAAATTAAGTAAGATTACCGATATTTTAACTACTCCACTGATTTGACAGCCGGCTCGATTTGGTCAACTGCTCCATACCCGGGCGCATAGGTTCACCTCTGCGATTGAAGGAGATTAAGTGGAAATAAGCTGTAGCTTGTCGCAACAAAAACAAGCAGATGCGGACGAACAGTAAGGCACTACCGGAATGTGATGAATTTTAGACTGGTAGGCTGGTGTTTAATTCAGTGACAATTTGCACTTAGTGGGGCGGATTCGGTTGTTGCTATTTAGCTGACAACATGGATGAAGTAGAAATAATTAGTATACCTCAAGCCGTATAAAGGTGAAGATAGAGAATCCAGGTAGATCCAGGATACGAAGAACTTTATCAGACGTACGATTATCAATGTTTACGAGTCAGTCATATCATCATAATTCTAACCATCGATTTCATTTATATCACGGTCCGCATCCCGAAAGCCTAACGCGACCTACATGACGGTTTAGGTTTGCATGCTCTTATTCCAGGTCCTAGTTTGACCGCCTTTGACTTTCATGTCACCTACCTCGGTAAACAGTGGACACTTAAGAAGCTTATCGAGCGATAGCCGTCAAACATGCCCCAGCGATAGTAATCCCCGAACGAGTACTGGCTACAGTGGTCGACTGCGATTGTCTGAAACTATGCACCTAGCCTCGGTGCAGCTTGTCCGACTGCTCGACCAGACACGTGTAATGCGGTGAACACCGATAATCCACCATTATCCCTCTCCCAAATAGTTAAGAATCTGCACTACACAGCAGCACCGGCCGGGTTGTGCAGCATACACTTGAATCGTCATAGACTGGCGAAGATCGCTAGGGCAAACTTCAACTGAACCTTCTATGTGCATGTCGATACTTCCTTCAGGACAGGCCGCCAGGCGAGACGGTTAATCAAGAAGTGAAAATGAACCGCTTCCTCTATTGACCCCTAAATTGAAACCCTGTAAAAACATTGCACTTTGAAGGTGCAACAAGCAATTCAAAACAGCTAGCATTCAAACTAGTCGGAAAAGCCTGGAACTTACGTGCAAAATAACCGTAAGCTCAGAATAAAAGGGTCACAATCGCGAAACAAGAATCAGGCGCGCCATTTCGAAACAGACAAAGCCAGAATACGGTCGGAGGTCGCTTTGAGATCGAGAAAGATAGAAATCACTTGTCCTAAAAAGGAATCGCTGTGTTCCAGAAGGAAGAAATGAAAAGGAATGAAAGCAAGGAATGAAAACACGGTCGATGTTACATCCGTCAGGTCTAAAACCAGCCTAGTTCTCACGCGGGAACTGTTCACGTGCAACAGTCAAGGAAGTATTATGCCTGTAATGCAGATCAAGTCAACTCCACCACTGTTTTCACAAGGGGAGCTATCCTCTTTCTTATAAATCGATAAAATGGCCAACTAACATTACTCGGCTGGAGCTTGTTCTCTCCTCCATATGGAGCCCACGGGTTTCATCAATCCTAGGACTAAGACTGACCCTCCATCCTCAAAAGCTGATGGGGACGGTTCAGCCGAGCCAGAGGTATTATACCTTTCGACGCAACTTAATTCTCAGGTATATGCATTTCAGAAGGAAGACCGGTATTAAATGGCAGCAGTCCTGCTGAAGCAGTCCATGGAGGTAAGTTGAATTATGCTTTACAACGTTCTATTTATCAAGGCGGTTAAGTGTCAGTCAGTGTTACGTTAGATACCTCTATTGCCTTGCTTATGCCTGCTTTATTCGGGTTCGTACTGATAATTAGAGTTAGAGTTATACTCAACAGCAGAATGAATGGCTCTGCGATCCTGGCAAAGCAGTAGGGGTGAATTGTCTGTGTGTATGCATGTATGCATGCATGACTGTGCGCGTCTCAACGGTTCAGCACGGGTCAACAGCTACAGAATGGAGCGTCCATGCTTGTTCGTCGCATCGATGTATGCACCGACCGATTGTAGTACACCTGCAATCAAGGATGAATTCTACAAGGATCTTCCTCAATTACTCCAAAATGTTCAATCAACGGACGTCGTAGTAGTCGCCGGAGACTTCAATGCTCAAGTGGGATCCCTGGACCAATCAGAAAGGCTTCTTGGCTGACCGACAACGGAGATCGCCTACTTCAACTCTGCGCGGACCAAGGATTGTTCTTGTCAAACAGGAACTTCTCA